TCCAACAGTGATCCTCAGCTCAGTCCCACTGCGGGTGACCCAGGAGTCTGGAGAAGATGTTGGGGGGGCCCAGGGCTTCCCCAGGGCACCAAGGACACCCGGAGGCTCTGAGACTCTGAAGGCAGCCCAGGACAGCGCCTGGATTTCACCTCCCGTCCTGGGCCACGTTTGCTTCTTGCCTGGGCCTGTGAGACCCGCCCTGAGTGAGGTTTTCTTTGGGTAATGAGGTGTTTCCCGCCTGCCCTTGGGGCTTTCTACTCTCAGGCCTGGGAAACTCACTTTTCCAAGTTTGTGCCACTCAGATGCGGTGCCTCAGAGCCTTACAGGGCACAGGGCGTGGGGCCTGGTACGGATGAAAAATCAAGGTCAACTCCCCAAAGGCCAGCTCTCCCAGAGGGAAACTGCTTCAAGAGCGCATGTGCACAAGGCCCTGGGCTCCACGGACTCTCCTTCCTCACGCCCACCCCCATCCTGCAGGAGGGAAGAGCATGAGGAAAGGCGTGGAGATGGAAAAGGCAGCCTGTGTGACCATTTCCCAGGCAAGGGGGAGCCATAGAGGGTTCAGGGGCAAGGGAACCGTGGGGTTGGGGCTGTTCATTGATTCATTCCTGGGCACCTCCACTGTGCTGGGCCTGTGACAAGCACTGACCAATACACATGAATTGTGCGTTCATGCACATGAGTACATACACTTACTACAAATTATAATATAGGGGACACATAGAAAAAATAACACAATTTAGAAACAACAACAAAATATGCAATACTCTTCGTTGTACTTGACACTGTCCCTATAGTCTATTGATTTTTCACAGAATGCATTCATTGATTGTTGCTAAACTGTTGTATCTGTAACCAGTCTATCTATGGCTTGCAAGGGCCGAATAAGTTCCAATATGATGAACGCAGATTCATAGTTTTGCTTTCATTAGTGAGTCGAAAGCCACATGTGGTCTCTGTTGCATAGTCGTTTATTTATTTATTTTACTTACTTTATTTTATTTTATTTTTTTTCCAGCTTAATTAAATCTTTATTGTTCAGATTATTACATTTGTTCCCCCTTTTTTTCCCCCATAACTCCCCTCCTCCCAGTTCCCGCCCCACCCTCCGCCCTCACTCCCCACCCACTGTCCTCATCCATAGGTGCACGATTTTTGTCCAGTCTCTTCCCGCATCTCCCACACCCCTTTCCCCCCCAAGAATAGTCAGTCCATTCCCTTTCTATGTCCCTGATTCTATTATAATCACCAGTTCATTCTGTTCATCAGATTATTTATTCACTTGATTCTTAGATTCACTTGTTGGTAGATGCATATTTGTTGTTCATAATTTATATCTTTACCTTTTTCTTCCTCTTCCTCTTCTTAAAGGATACCTTTCAGCATTTCATATAATCCTGGTTTGGTGGTGATGAACTCCTTTATCTTTTCCTTATCTGTGAAGCTCTTTATCTGACCTTCAATTCTGAATGATAGCTTTGCTGGATAAAGTAATCTTGGTTGTAGATTCTTGGTATTCATCACTTTGAATATTTCTTGCCACTCCCTTCTGGCCTGCAAAGTTTCTGTTGAGAAATCAGTTGACAGTCGTATGGGTATTCCCTTGTAGGTAACTGTTGCTTTCTCTTGCTGTTTTTAAGATTCTCTCTTTATCTTTTGCTCTTGGCATTTTAATTATGATGTGTCTTGGTGTGGTCCTCTTTGGATTCCTTTTGTTTGGGGTTCTCCGCGCTTCTTCGACCTGTAAGTCCATTTCTTTCACCAGGTGGGGGAAGTTTTCTGTCATTATTTCTTCAAATAGGTTTTCAATATCTTGCTCTCTCTCATCTTCTGGCACCCCTATAATTCTGATGTTGGTACGCTTGAAGCTGTCCTAGAGGCTCCTTACACTATCCTCGCATTTTTGGATTCTTTTTTCATTTTGCTTTTCCGGTTGGGTGTTTTTTGCTTCCTCGCATTTCAAATCATTGACTTGATTCTTGCGCTCCTCTGGTCTGCTGTCGGGAGTCTGTATAATATTCGTTATTTCAGTCCGTGTATGCTTAATTTCTAGTTGGTTCCCCAATATAACATCAAGGGTCTCATTAGTTTTCTTGTAGATCTCATTAAGTTTATCGGCGGCTTCTAAACAGTTCTTGAGAGACCTTAAAAGTGTGGTTCTGAACTCTATATCTTCCATTGACAATTTTGTCCTGTTTCTTTGTCTCCGCATTTTGTTATGCTTCCTTGGTGCACCCCCTAGTGGTCTTTGTGCGCAGTCTTATAGTTAAACCTTGATTGTTGTAGCTAATACCAGGGAGGGTTTGACCTCCAGGCCAAGTGGCTGTGAGAATCAGCTGTGTCTGCAGTGAGAGAACTTCTGTCCTCTAGGGAGGTGCTAATCTAGCCTTTGCCTGAGGCTATCTGGCAAATGCCTCTGTGCAGGGCTTGGGCGGGGCGGGTCGCACAGGATCAACAGGGTGGGCCGGGGAGAGCAGTTATGGCGGCTCTCAGTCCTGTCCCCAGGGGCTCTGCCTCTCTGAGTCCCAGCACCCGCTGCAAACCTCGGAGGGAAAGCTGCACTCGCTCTGACCGAAGCCAGACAGTCCCGCTTCTCCCGTTTGAGTCTGGGGAGTCTGCGACTCCCTCCAGATTGAAAACGCCAACCGCGCCCTCCGCCGCCAGCCCGCTCCGCGCACTCCGCACCTCAGAATTTGACTTCAGCACTGCGCCTCCTCTGAGTGTCCGTATGCGTTTCTCTTTCCTCCTAGTTGTAGGACTTCCACTCAGCCAGCGTTCCTGTGGTTCTGGGTGATGTCCGTTCCGTTTTTTAGTTTCACTTTTGAAGTAGTTGTTCAAGGTAGCAAACTCCGGCGTTAACCTATGCCGCCATCTTGGTTCTCCACTTTTTTTTTTTTTAAAGAGAGAGAGGGAGAGGGAGAGGGAGAGGTAGAGGGAGAGAGACACATCCATCAGCTGCCTCCTGTACACCTCCTGCTGGTGAGGGAGCCTGCAACCTAGGCATTTGCCCTGACCTGGAATCGAACCAGTGACCTCTTGGTGCATGGGATGGTGTTCAGCCACTGAGCCACACTAGCCAGGGCTATTTATTTGTTTATTTATGTATACAACCCTTTCAAAATGTAGAATCACTCTGAGGCCATTCACAGACAAGCCTTCAGCCCAGTGTAGCCCATAGGCTATTATTTACTGATCCCTGATCCATGTTTTTGAGATGGTTTACATCTACCCTATCTGACTGATGGAAACGCTGTGTAATAGGGTATCTCTTCCCAACTCTGCGTCAGTGACATCACACCGGTTGCTTGAGATTGGGCAGCACTTACACTCTCTAAATGGGCCAACCTTGAAGAGCAGGGCTTGATTTATTGTTTGTAGATTGTCTAGACCCGTGGTCGGCAAACTGTGGCTCGCGAGCCACATGTGGCTCTTTGGCCCCTTGAGTGTGGCTCTTCCATAAAATACTGGCTTCTGCGCATGGGACACGAAGTTTCAATTGCACTGTACATGCGCGCCCACACATGGTATTTTGTGGAAGAGCCACACTCAAGGGGCCAAAAAGCTGCATGTGGTTCGCGAGCTGCAGTTTGCCGACCACTGCCCTAGCCTATCACTGGCCTTGCGGTTGGGACCCCCTGACCTTTCCTCCCTAGAAATAACATCTAGGCCTCAGTTGTATTTTAGCTCCAGGCCCAGAAGAGCAGCAAAACCAGACAAGCCACCCCATGGCTGGCCTCAGGGCCAGCGGCATTGAATAAGGACCCCCTGCCCTGGCGCCCACCAATCAATCCGTGGAGACCCGGACCCTGAGCGGACACACCTGTAAGCTGCTGAACATTCTATGAAGATCCTCTGAATCCTTCCGGAGCCGGAACTCAAGTAACCCAGGTTGCTGAACCCAGGCCCCCTGTGGCCCCACCAGTCTAACCCCTGGTGCCCTTGCTGCTGCCACAACAATATCCCAAGCCAAGTCTTCCCATCACCTGAAATGCTGCCTCCTGTGGGATAGCCAGGCTTAGGGAACCTCTGGGAGTGGGTGTACCAGCAGGCTGTGGGGAACACTAGCATTTTCTACAAAGGCCCTGACAAATGTGCCCATGGATCCCTCCCAGGGGAGACTGGAAGGGTGGAAGAAGGCAGGGGCCTGTCTAGCCAGGTGCAGTGTAGCCCAGAAAGGGGGTTGTAGGCCCAATGGCGGGGGGGGCGGGGGCAAGGTGAAGAAATGCGGGTGGAAGGCCAAGGCCCCATTGCACACGGTCCTCTGCACACAACTCCCTTTCGTTTCTCCCCTGTTCCTGCCAAATCATGGACAGCAACGGGAGGGGGTGCTTACTCCCCAGGGATGGCCCCCGGCTCCAGACCCAGTTCTAGGGGCCAGGACCTTATGTCCTCAGCCCAGAAGACACACTGTTTCCTGCCTTCAACCCGCAGGGACAACTTAGAGTCCTGGGCCAGCAGCAACCCCTCCCCCCCAACACCTGATGATGTGGAGCAGGACAACCTGGACCCTCAGGCCCCTCCAACAGGAACCACTGGGAGGCTGCAAATGCTCCAACAGGATGCGGGCCCTTGGCCAGGGAGAAGGCACAGAAGCTGCTCTCTCTCTAAGGCGTCTGCTTCCTCTCAAGCTCAAAATACTCCCTCCTCTCCCTCAGGGTGAGTAAGAGGCCTCCTGAGGTCCAGAGCCCGGGTTCCTTACCAGCTGGGCAGGAGCAGTTGGGGGCCATTTCCAGCAGAGATGAGGCAGTCGGTGCAAAGCAAGAGGAGAAGGGGCACTTGCGCCGGTGCACCGCGTGGTGGCGCCCAGGAGCCCGCGCGCTCACTTTATGCCCAGAAGAGGCGGCCGGGCGCAGCTCCGGCTCTTGCACCCAGTCCCTTGCACCGGCCCCGCGGAACCGCGCGGCTCCCAACGTCCTTGTCTGGGCTGAGCGCACCTGGCTGGGTGGGGTGCACTGTTCCACCAGCCCCGCTGAGCTCCGTGCGCACCGCGCGGGCCCCACCTTTGGCCCCTGATCATGCCGAGCGGCTTGTGTGCCGTGTGGCGCACGGTATCCATCCTCCAGGCCTGACCCTTCCCCATTTTCCACCCGGGGCAGCCAGCTCTGATCTCCACGGCCTTCTTACTGGAATCCAGCCCCTGTGACCTCACCATCTTCTCGGCCCCTGGACCCCTTGCCACTGACCTCAGGCAAAGAGCCCGAGTGCAACACCCCCTCCCGTTGCTGTCCATGACTTGGCAGGAACGGGAGAAACGAAAGGGAGTTGTGTGCAGAGGACCGTGTGCAATGGGGCCTTGGCCTTCCACCCGCATTTTTTCTCCTCCCCCCCCCCCCAACCCACATTGGGCCTACAACCCCCTTTCTGGGCTACACTGCACCTGGCTAGCACAGGCCCCTTGCCTTCTTCCATCCTTCCAGCCTCCCCTGGGGGGATCCATGGGCACATTTGTCAGGGCCTTTGCAGAAAATACTAGTGTTCCCCACAGCCTGCTGGTACACCCCCTCCCAGAGGTTCCCGAAGCCTGGCTACCCCACAGGAGGCAACATTTCAGGTGATGGGAAGACTTGACTTGGGATATTGTTGTGGCAGCGGCAAGGGCACCAGGGGTTAGACTGGTGGGGCCACAGGGGACCTGGGTTCAGCAACCGGTATTTGAGTTCCGGCTCCGGAAGGATTCAGAGGATCTTCATAAAATGTTCAGCAGCTTTCCAGGTGTGTCCGCTCAGGGTCCAGGTCTCCACGGATTGATTGGTGGGCGCCAGGGCAGGGGGTCCTTATCCAATGCCGCTGGCCCTGAGGCCAGCCATGGGGTGGCTTGTCTGGTTTTGCTGCTTTTCTGGGCCTGGCGCCAAAATACAACTGAGGCCTAGAGGTTATTTCTAGGGAGGAAAGGTCAGGGGGTCCCAACCTCAAGGCCAGTGATAGGCTAGGGGAGGAAAGGTCCCCCTGGGGGTGAGGTCCCACCCTACAGTTGTCTTTTGCTAGACACCCAGGGCTTTCTGCCCTGGCGGCCTCCTGTGCCTGGCCCATCGTCCTTGCTCTGCTCATGCCTAACTGCCTGCCGCAATATCGCTGCAAGAGGAGTGTTCTCCCCCTTCCCGGCTGATGATGATGACGCAGCACTTAGTGAGTGGCCGGTCATGTTTTCATCACTCTGGATCTTTGCACTTTCACAAACCATATAAGGGAAATACTTCTATTAGTAGGTACGAGCCCTTTCTGCTAATGGGACCATTTCAACACACAAAGGCTAAATCACTTGCCCCCGGTGACATAGCTGGGAATCTGTACACTTGGTGGAATCCAGCGAGGCTTCCGAGGGAAGGGGAAGAAGACCCCTGGATCGCCAGCCTGTGGCTGGGGTCTGTTGACAACACTTCTCTAAGGCTCGAAGCCATTTAAGCCAGAGCAAGCTGCCAGCTCACCCACTGCGGCAGCCATACACGTGACATATATAGATTTTACCCTAATGATGTACGTAATGACTAATAATATAAATATGTATTATAGTAATAGTCATATAATTATGATGTTATTATTATAACATGAGAATCGTCTGGCCAGCTCCAGTGTCTCACATTTTATAGTTGCTATCAGTGGTAAAATAGTCGGCTTTCCATGTAAATATATTTAAGAAAATAGGAATCATTTCAAATTACAAACGGCAGGTTTCTTTGGGTTTCTGAGGAGATACAGGGCATCTTCCTCATGCCTGGACATTTCCTGTGCCGATCACAATTTGGTGGAAGAGTGAAGGACTCTGGTCTGCAGGTCACATCTTCGTGGACAACACGGGACTCACAGCCTGGCTCACCAGCCCTGGCTTATTTGGAGGCAAATCTATTTCCCCTCAGCCACGTAGAACAGTCATAAGACAAGTAGCTAGTATTGTAGACCGCTCCCCACGTGCCAGAGCTCATGTGGGTTCCGTACAAACCCATTCACTCCTCTGACCCATGTGGCTTACTTTACCCCTTGACAGTGAAGGAGGCTGAGCCACACAGAGGGCATGTCACGGCATTAGTGGCAAGAACACTCCGCTGTTTCTGATCTCCCCAGCCAGGAGCACAAATGGCTCTCCTTGTGAGAGGCCGGGTTGAGCATCCAGTAACACGGTGACCAGCTCGCAGTGGCCAGGGAGTGAAGCCACCTGGAGCACAGTTCAGACCTGTGACTTCTTGAGCAGGTTGTTTAACTTCCCTGGAAAATTCCATAATCGCTTCAGCCCTTCCATCTGCAGTCTGTCTCCCTGGCCCCGTGAGGATGGAATGACGGGTGGGAAAGGCTTGGTGTCCACCCAAACGCGGTGGCAGTGTCTCGTCCCAGGGTGCTTATCATAGGAGGTCACCTCTGTCTTCCTGGCCCCGGGTCGGCACATTTTTATCCCACCCTTAATGTCCAACACAGAGTCATGCTTCTTTTTAAAAAAAAATATGGTTTTTGTTGATTTTATAGAAAGAGGAAAGGAGAGAAATATAAACATCAATGAGAGTCATCAATTGGCTGCCTCCTGCACACCCCCCATGGGGGATCCGGCCTAAAACCTGGGCATGTGCCCTGACTGGGAATTGAGCAGGCAGCCTCTTAGTGCATGGGAGGACACTTACCCAACTGAGCCACAGCGGCCAGCCGGGCCGGAGTAATGCTTCTAAACCAATGAGCCTTCCTCCAGGTGCATGGTGGGATGGAAAAGGATTCTCTCCACACGAATGGACACAGTGATCATTGAACCACGTCCAGCACGGCCAGGGGTGAACCTGAGAAGGGGTGGTGAAGGATTAAAGAAGCGGACAAGAGAATACAGTTGGGACCAGGTGGATCACTGCCTGGATGAGGAAACAGTGACCCAGCCTGTAAGCCGAAGCTTTATTTTATAGTCAGATCACCCAAAGCAAAGCAAGGGGAGTGGTCAACATGTTTACAATGTCCTTGCAAGTTTCAAATCTATTTTGCTCCTCAAGCCTTATTTTGGCAGCACTTGCTGCACCTCCCACAGCCCATTAGCTACCTAGGAACAAGGGAGGACTGTAAGGTCAAGCTTATTTGTGCCAGGAGGGCTCTGCCCTCCAAGCTGGGACTTGTATGTGGCTCTGCCACAGGTCAGCCCGAGGCTTGACCCCATAGCCGCTCCCTACAGATCATAACAGCCACTGCTTATTAAGCCTACCCTGGAGCCAGCACACTATCATTTATTCCTCCCTTAGAAATATAATCTCCTTTCTACAAATGGGGTCACGGAGGCTCAGAGAGTTTCAGCGACTCAAGCAGGACATGCCACTTGTGGCAAAGTAGGCTGTGAACCAGGCTGCATGACACCAAAACCCATGCGCTTGGCACAGGCTGGCTCTTGTGATCCCTTCTTCACTTAGAGCCTTGCAGGCAAGCACGGTCCTGACTCCTGGTCCATGTGACTTGTCTTTCTCTTTGATTTTACGTCAAATAGCAACTCCTTCTACAAACAGCCAGGGGGGACTAACCGTTGTCATTAATTACAAGTCACTGCTTCTGAACTGTAGAACCTGACATCACCCTGCACAGGCTAATGGGGGTGGGGGTGGGGGTGGGGAGTAACTGGGGGACGGGGTGCCTCCCCTGGGGCCATTCTCAGCCACCCCTCCCTCTGAGAAAAGAAGCGTGGGTGATTCGCTCCAAATCCCTAGGCACTTTGCTGGTTTCAAACAGCCAGGAGCTGGATTTTGGAGGAGAGCCAGGGTTGAGCCTGCCCTACGGAGGAACTTGCAAAGTTTCAGAACCAAGTTCAAAGTGGGACAGTGGTGCTCCAGGTGTTTGAGGTCCACACTTTGGGGGGGGGGGATTTATAAATTGTTTCAATGCACCCTTCTGATGAGCCGTGTGCAGCGTGTTAAAATCTCGCATATCTGTTCTCTATGGAAAATGTGTTTTGAATCTAAAAATGTGGCTTGTGTTGCTCTTTTATGCCATTTCATAGTAATTATTATTTACCAATATGTAGGTCTGGGATGGATTAGGGGGAATTTCTTCACTACAAGGATTTTAAAGCCCATGTCAGGATCAAGCAAGTAAGGTACTCTATAGATTTTTCAAGCCTTCCATGCCGTGAGGTACCGAAGTGGGTCCGGGAAACCGCAGGGAATGAGCATTCTGGAGGAGAAGTTTCTGTGCCATCAACGTCGTGACCACAGAGGGGATCCTGTGTCCACCCAATGCCCATAGAGCCCCCTCCGGGAGGCCACCTGGCTTGCCTGAAGGCTGTTAGGGAATAACAACACTTCCGTCCCCGACCCAGGTCCCTTCACTTCCCATCCAGACCCCCACACCCAGCCCTGGTGCCCACGCCAAGGAAAACAGACTCCGAATAAAGCCAACAACTTTTATTGTCATTCGTGTGTTTTATAGAAATAAAAATGGGAATGTAGCAAACAGGTCAGGGATGTACAAAAAAATGCAGGTTTATACACGTGGCTCTATTTACAACCGGGAGCGGGCTCTCCATCAGGCATCACGCATCACGCACAGCAGCTGCACTTGTCGGAGGCTCCTTTGCAGACGCAGCCCTGGGCGCACTTGGCACAGCCCACGGGGCAGCAGGTGCAGCAGCCTGGGGGAGGAGAGGAGGCGGCAGAGGTGAGCGCTTGGGATAAAAGATCAGTAAGAAATCCCGTCCTTCGCAACCAGGGGCCACGGTTGGAGGAGGTGCCGCCTTCCCTAGGGGCGGCAGTTGCCCTGTTTAAATTCCCCGCGGGGCGGAGGGCATGCAGGGTGGGGGCGGGAGGGGCACGTCGGGAGCAGAAGAGAAAACTGCACTTACTCTTCTTGCAGGAGGTGCACTTGCAGTCTTTGCATTTGCAGGAGCCGGCGCAGGTGCAGGAACCACCTGCAAGAAGAAAAACAGGTGAGAATGGTCCCGGGATACCCAACCAGTGAAGGGGTGCCCCGAGCCTGCGTTAGAGTCTCCCAGACCCACAACGAACCCAGCTCCACAGCCAACTGTCAGTACAACGGCGGACCGTGGAGAAACGCGCACCGGCCGCTCTAAGAGCTGTTCGTACCCTGGAACCCAGGGATTAGAAGGAGCAGGACACCGGGCATCCCCAGCCCCGGGCCAGGCCCACTTACCGGTGGCGCAGGAGCAGTTGGGGTCCATGGCGAGCTGAGCGGTGGCTGGAGTCCGAGGACAGAGGTGACGCTGATCGCTGGAGTTTGCGGGAGCGCTGTGAAGCGGGGCGCGCG